GCTTAACAAACTTTGACTTTATTTGTCTTTAGCTAGTAAGTATTATTTCCTAATTGCTTCTGTCTAGAAAGCAAAGAAAATGACAATTACTCTCTTCAAACTATGCTTTTGTAATCTAGACATCGATGTTTTGAATCTAGCCTATTTTCCATTACATTCCAGACACAGTCAGTGCTGAGTTGCTGAAGGAGAAGTTTCTAGAAATTTCAAGAGATTTCGAGAAGTTTCTAAAAGTTTCAAGAATTTCTAGAACGTTCTAGCTGCCAAGGATCGTTTAACAAAAACATGGCGAGAGACTATATTTTGGGGGCTGATTCGTGAAAGTAATTTACAGTATAAACGTAAATCACGAAAAAATACTCACTTCTAAATGTTTTATGGTCTCTCTTGTGTAATCCTAGAATAAATAAATGCTACTTTTAAATCATATGTCGTTTTGTTTCTAATTTCCGTGAAGGAGTATGTTCACATTCGCCAGTTTTCCTAATGAGAATAGATCAATTTCAGAAATATCATTATCCTGCTCACAAAAGTAATGTTTGAAGGAAATATTAGCCATTTTTCATACTTTCTAAGCGTAAGAAAATAGGAAATAACAATTGCTACCCAAAAACAAAAGTCAAGTTACACAGTGATTGAAACATATTTTTTCGTCATATATAAAAGCATGTGTGCGAATCTGTGGATTTGTGCATGTATACTTTGTGCTTGTATTGATAAACGCATGTTACTAATAATACTTATTTACTATGTAAGTTCTGCGTGTAAATATTTTATTATGTATCTCCTTACTTACCAGTCTTTTGAACAGGAGTAGAAGGTTTATTCCTTGTTTCCGGTTTAGAATTTGGTTTCCGGTTCCTTCTCGTAATGTCTTCGACTTTTCTTTCACGGCCAGTAGCGCCTAACGTGCTAACAAAACAAAAAAATCATGATCCACACCTTAATTTAGTAGAAAATAAGCAGACACCAATATCATTTCAGCACACACACACACACACACACACACACACACACACACACACACACACACACACACACACACACACACACACATATATATATATATATATATATATATATATATAAAAAAAAACCTAAGGAGCCAGAACCTACCTCCAAGGATTAAGCTAAAGGGTCTTTAGGGTACAACAGCCAGTAGTACCCTGAAGATCCGTTAGTTGAAACTTTGGTAGGTAGGTTCTGGCTCACTAGGTTTTTTAGATTTACGTTTTTACTTAATTTAATCTGTCGATTTTTTTTTCTTTTGACTAGGCATTGCGGTGCTGATTGATTATTTTCGACCAACACGGATTTATTTAGTCTTTTCTTTTTTTACTGATTTTTTTTCCTCTGCTATCGGTTTGTTCAAATATATTTTTTTTCATAAATTGTATTATCCAGGTTTCTCACTGGGTCCCCATACTTTCGGCCTTGTGCCGCATCTAATCTACGCTTAGAAAATCCATATCCAGGTTTTTTCAAACCGCCAGATTATAGGTGTATGGGTATTAAAAAATACATAATTTTATATATATATATATATATATATATATATATATATATATATAAAAATATATATATATATGTTATATATATATATATATATATATATATATATATACTGAAAGAGAGAGATAATATTATTGGTCCATATATATATATATATATATATATATATATATATATATATAAATTACCAAGAGGATAGAATCCAGGTAGAAATCAATGTCAGGATAGAGTAAGAATATATTATAAAAGGCTCAAACACTAATATTCCATGGTTATAACTTATCACATTGGATCCAATTCATTAGACCTACAAATTATATTTTCCGATTTCTTTTTGAATTTGCATGTCTAATAAATTGGTTCGTGTTACGATTCCAATGTAATAAATTATAACCATGGAATATTAGTGTTTGAGTTTTTATTATATATATATATATATATATATATATATATATATATATATATATATATATATATATATATATATTCATCAATACAAGGCCCAAGAACCACTCAATGTAAATTGTTACTGCATGAGCTAGTTGTATGAAGATATGTAGGATAGATAAGGATTAACTAAAGAGGTTAATATTGAAGAGGTTAATATTGTAGTGACCTGGGAAACATTATCGCGGGAGTCTGTTCCACAAAGTAGTGCATATTGAGAAGAAGCTGTCCGAATCGAACATTCTTATTAATATTTTTTTTTATAATGATGTTCACTTTGTACAAGGCCCAAAAACCACTCGCGGTAGAGTGTTACAGAGTAAGCGGCATAGCTTATAGGGATATGTGGGGAAGATAACGTTTGAACCTGGACTTGAACAGATTGTAGGGATCACGAACGGAATGTGGATAGTAATGGTAATTGTAAGATTTTACATCGCGACACGGAAATTTCTATGTTTCAGAACTTTAAATTTGTTCCATTCTCAAGAGATATTGGGTAACTTTTGATGAAAATGATTTGCTTTTAAAAAAAGAATGGTGTTTTATTAAAGGTTTAAGGAATGGGGAGAAAATTTCAAAATTTTATGGGTAACCCCTGTTTGACCAATCAAAACACCAATCAAATATTATTGACCAATCAGATATTATGCTGTACGTTGTATAGAGCCCTTTTTAAAAGAATAAATGCTAAAGAAATGTGAATTCTTAATCTGTTTTTTCTCTTTATTTGTATATATATATATATAAACACAAGAAATTGGGCTGGGTTGGCTAGGCTTTAGGGGCCGTTTATTACAAATAGAGAGAGAAAGGAAGAAAGAAAGATTGTTTTAAACATTTATTGAGGATAAATGTTTAAGTAAATGCTCTGTTTATAATAAACAGTATTAAATAACATTTACCGGCCTGAATGTCCGAGAAATTTTCATAGAAAATATTCGTTCTTTGACAGGATTCGAACCTGCATCCTATACGGAACCGTCATTTACGCTGACGTGCCTTGCCGATCGGCCACAAAGAAGCGTTCGGTAGACAAGGTCGAATTTACTGCTTATAAATTTCAATCTTCCATGAATCTTTACTTAAATACTTGTATCTATAAAAAAGAACGTTAAACATAAAAAAAATGTCTTTAATAAATAAATTGTCGGACTTTGTCCATTTCTTAATATATGACGTCATTTGTTTACATTTGATACGCCAGAGCAGTGATGAATGTACGAGATTCATGGAAATGTAGTTTATAATAAATTTTTATTATAAAGATTATAATAAAAAATATTTTAGAAAATGACGGTTTCGTAAAAGCTTTCGAATGTTTCAAAGAACGAATATTTTGTGAAAATTCTTCAGGACAATGGTTAGTAAAGGTGATTAAACTGTTTATTTTTATAAACAGAAATTTAAAAAAAACTGTTATCTATAAAAAGAACGTTAAACAGAAAAAAATGTCTTTAATACAGAATTAAAAAAAAATGTGGGTATGTCTTGAATAATCAGGATAACATTTTTAATAATAATTTCCTGCTGTACAATCGAGATTTGAGAAAACAAAAGAAGGATCTGTAATATGATCGATCGCAAACTGAAATTTTCTTACTGATCTGTCGCTTTCTAAACAAACTGATATTTGAGCCTGTCTTTTTAAATTATTTTCATACCAACTGTTCAAAATATATTTTTCCCTGGTATCCTTTTACATGAATTTATATATATACTAGATATAGCATCTAGGTCTCACACTTTTTACTGTTGAATATATATATATATATATATATATATATAGTTTAAATAGTTTGTCAATCGATGAATTTTACCTATCTTTTGAACAGGTTCAGCTTTTATCCTTTGTTCCCAGTTTGATTTGGCTTCGGTTCCTTCTAAAGTCTTTACTCTCTATCTCACTCCCTGTAACCCTAAAGTTTCGTAGATGAATATTTTAGTAATTGTTCAATTCATCCTTGCTGGAGGTTTCAATATCGTTTTCCAATCATCAAGAAGATTTTTTCCTAAAAAACGGCTGAAACATTGTGAATCTGACAAGACGAAGGGATAACAGGTAATGTAAATACTCAAGTAATCACAATGGTCATCTAATTGGCTTGACTGATAGGGATGTATTTGTATGTTCAGACATAATACTGGATAATGTTAGCCATCTAATTCAGCCCTTTTATATGTTTGTAACCTCAGTACTTTTCAATATAAAATTATTAACTGACTATAAATATTCTCACCTCCGACCACAAACTTAAATATATATGTTTACTATATATATATATATATATATATATATATATATATATGCCATTTTGCCGTACAAACAAAATGGGACTAAAATCCTCTGTTAAGCATTTACGTAGCGCCAAAATGTGAGGGACAATGGTAGAATGTATTACTATTTTTTGAGAATAAAATTTTTTTTTAAAAGAATTTTCTTTTCCAATATTAAAAGCTTTCATGTTTCAATTCTATGCGTTGTACTTCTTCAAGCAATGGTTAGTAACAGGTATTAAATGATTTTATATATTTAAAAACAAACTGTTACCTCCTTTAAAATAAAGTCATGAACATAGGTCAGGTAGCAAAAAAAACATGGGTATGTCTTGAATAACATAATAATCTCTGAAACAAATCTGAATTCGATCAAACAAAGGAAAATTTTATTAAAGACGCATTTGGCATCTCGGAAAAGTCGCTTTCTCAGTGACGTTTGGTTTCCTCTTCTTTTTACAAAAATTTGGAACCAAAGCTCAAAAACTTTTTGAAAGGTAAAATGCTTTGAAAATCGTGATACTAGATAAGCATCTAGGTATCACACTTTTCTGTTTAATTAAGTTAATGTAACTATAATCTTCAAAAGTTTAAATGTAATGTCAATCGCCATTTTCTATCTTCTTGAACTCCGTTATATTTATATTTCCTCCGTTCCTGTTACGCAGTCTTTTTCTCCTCCACTTTTTGTAACCCTCTGATACTATAGGTGGCATTTCCTCCTTGCTGGAGGTGTATTTAATATCGTTTTTTACGCATTTACA